ATATGGTTCTTTGAATAACCTTTTAAAAATAGTTCAGTTGAACATCATAAAGGGTTGTGCTATTATTCAATGTCAAAGATCTTTTTTTTGGGTACTATTGAACCCTTTCTGTTTGCAGTGCACATTTTCTTTCTGTACTGTGCCGTGTTTCTTAGAGAATGTTCCTAAGATAGCTGAGCATTTTAGTTGATGATAGGAGGACGTGGCGGGAATTGGAGGTGAAACTCCCATGGATACATACTGATGTAGCCAAATATCAAAAAACGTTTTAGAGGTGGGCAAAAGTCAGTACATCTTGATCGAAGATTACAGGAAAATAACAATTTTATCTTTAAATGATATATGATGAATTGTGCTTAATATGACCAAGGACATAAACTAACATGGTAAAAGGTTTTTTTTATTTCAGGTTGACTTCAAGTGGATTTAAACATGAATACATCAGTGAGATACCCCTGACAGCCATGATGTTTTCTTAAATTAAACTGAAAGTTTGTGGCTTGAGAGTTTGCAGCATTATCCACTCTTGGCTTCAGGTGGAGTCAAGTTTCAAACTTAAAAAGTAAAAACAGAGAGTTTGCAAGGCTTCCAGAAGGCCTCTTTCATCTGACTTCACAGTGTCTCAGTGAGAAAAGCTACCCTCCTGTCTACAGTAGGAGTGAAAAACAGTCATTTGGAGATCTGATTATCAAATGTGGGTCATCTAGCAAACTGTAGCATGTGTTCATGTATTGAATATGTGTTTTCTCTTTTCAAATGTGGCCATATATAACTCTGTGTAATGGGATTACTCCCACTCAACAGCTGTCTCCTCACCACCCTGCTCTTCTCTCTGAGCCACTCCCAGGAACTCAGAGGAAGGCTCCTATGAATGTCCCGGAAACTGAATTATTGATCCGAGCAGGGACGGACAGGCTAAATGCTGTGCAAGTAAAAAGGAACTAGCCAGCTGTACAATGACCCTCTGCTTAATCTGATGCCCTTTACATTACATTCACTGCCATATAGTCCCTTATGCTGACTTGCACCAGCACACAAGCCTCAATTACTGGCACAGTATGAAATGCTACCAAAAATGGAAAGCAGTGATTAGTAAATTCTCTTTGATTTGTATTCAGTTGAAAAATGTCAAAAATATGACATTCAATGTTTGTTTTTTGTTTTTTTTTTGGTAAATAAATGTTCATTCCAAATTTGAAGCCTACAAAATGTTCCAAAAAAGGGTGTCACCTTTAAAAATCATTTGGGGGCTGAAGACACCAAATGCTCCAGAGTTTTTTGCCATTTTCTGTTATATTTGTCTTCAGCTAAGCAACTCCATGGAACCATTGTTGTCATATTTTGCACTTCATAATACTCCACATGGACCTCAGAGACAGACAGGCCAGTCTAGCACCCATACTTTCTGATTACACAGTTATGCTGCTGTAGCACATGCAAAATGTGGTTTGGTGTTGAAGTCCATGAAAAAGACGTCATCTAGAAGGCAACATATTGCTCCAAAATGTATTTGTATCTTTCATCATTAATGGTGCCTTCACAGATGTGCAAGTTATCTATGCCATGGGCACTAATGCATCCCATTCCATGACAGACCCCAGCTTTATGCAGGTAAATAACATGGTTGATCCTTTTCTTCTTTGGCCCAGAAAACATGTCCAATATTTCCATAAATAATCTGAAAGATTGACTTTTCAGACGATCTTAAGCCCAGAGAAGTCAGCAGTGTTTCTGAATGTTGTTGACATGTAACTTTCACTGTACATAGTACAGTCTTAACTTGCATTTGTGGATACAACGACAGAAAGTGTTTATTGAAAAAAGTTTGTCAAATTATTCCTGAGACCATGTGGTGATATCCACCACAGAAAAATGCTGGGTTTTAATGCACTGCAATCTGAAGGGTTGAAGGTCATTCAGTTGTGGTTTTTGGTCTTGCCCTTTACGCACAGAGATTTCTCCAGATTCCCTGAATCTTTTCATGATATTATGCACTGTTGAGGGTGAAATACCTAGAATTGTTACACACGCTTGTTGAGGAACATTGTTAAACCTTTGAATTTAGATTTTCAAAAAATAATGAAGTTATTAAGGTAAAACATTAAATATCTTGTCTGTGTACCATTTTTCATTTAAACACAGCATTTGCAAATCGCTGCTTTCTGTTTTTATTTGCATTTCATATACTGTCTGAACTTTTTTGGAACAGAGGTTTGTACAGCAAAGTAGTCATGTGTGTTTTTGTGCCTAGTCTAGTTAGAGTGTGCATTTATGGGTCTTGCATGTAAAAATGAGAAGGAAATCAAGGTTAGCACATCTTTGCAAAAATATTTTTAAATATATTTTTTATAATATTTGTAAATATTCTAATTAAAAAATATTATTTTTTAAATGATATTTTTGTAGGCAGGTTTATTGCATGTGTGAGAAAAAAGAACGCAGTGTTAAACATAAATGTTATTTCTCTTTGTAACAATTTAAATAAATAAATAAATAAATATTACAAAATACTACAGACACACATGCTTCTCATTCCTAAGCACTAATGTAGACTAATGGCTGAGGTAGTTTATCACAGCTACCTTTGAATCATTAATGTATAATTGTATAAATAGTGATATAAGGGGTCCAGTAAATATGTTAGAGACTCGGTCATCATGAGCCCAACCCCCACAGTACTGGCCACAGTATGATTACACCGCTTGGATTTTTGGTAGTTATGCCATTGACCTTAGCACATGCTCTTGGAACACTAGCAGCAAAACAACCTCAAAGAAATAATAATCCACTCATATATATACTATATATAGGGACCAAACATGCTGGTTTACATGGTTTAAATCATTAAATAATTCTGCTTTGGTCTCATTTCACCACAGCACTCGCTTACTGACAATAATTTTATATATTATTTATGCAGTTTTTACTTTGTGTAGGTGACCAAGCATATGTGCATTTTGATTGGACACTTATTTATATGTCCTAATGGCGTTGGATTATGAAGCACTTTTATAATAATATGCCATCAAGTTCTATCCCAGCAGTCGGGAAGTGAAGGAACTACATTTTTTAATTCATAAGTTTCACATATAAATAATTAAGCATACCATTTAACATTTAACCATAACATTTTATACAGCTTTATTTGCTGGTTTTCATTAACCCTTGTATGTTTTAGTTGCTTCGTGGTCTGGTGGACCCACCACATTATTGTTTTTTTTTAATCAATATGGCCCATAACAATTTATGCAAAAATACCAGATGTTTAAAATATCATAAGTGGTAAAATATCACAAGCGTTCTCCTTTAGCAGCTGTAGCCAGTCAGCAGCCTGTCCATGTTGTCCACCCTCACACACACGTATACATATACAAACACATACACACACACACACACTAACAGCAGGCCACATTTTTATTCCCCACAGGTTCACTCCAATACCACATGTGTAATATAAATGTGTGGGGGGTTTACAGTGTGAAGTCACTGAAAATGTGTTATTTAAATGTTTTTCACAGAAAATGAGCAAAGGCCAAGAAATCTGAGGATATATATGAAATAATAATAAATCACATCATTTTTTCTTTTGGTAAAAATTGAAAACATGTCCCACAGACCCGAACACCACACAAGGGTTAAGTGACCAGTAATTCTGAACAATAGTGACAATATATGCAATTCATTGTATATATAGAGTACAATATATATACAAACATCAGTGTACTGCTCTTCACACTGGGCACTGGCTTTATAAAATTTCCAATTACTGCAAAATTCAGTTCAAGATGTTTATTGTTGTATTATATTTTGGTCACAATGTGAAAAGTACACATTTAACATTCAGTGTGGAACTGTTAAGTTATGCAGTGCAGAAAAATCCACTCAGCACACAGCAGACTTCAGTGTAGTGACGGTTAAGATATAAAGTTCACAGCTCTGCAGGAGTGAGGTAGGAGCAGACACATTTCAGAGTGTGAATGAGAGTGAACAGTCTCTACAATAGGAACTGTGACTAAGATCTGAAAATACCACTCTGGATATTCTGGTTATTGACAGATGGCAGCAGGACAAGCAGCCTATTGCCGGGAAGTGCAGGTTCTATTATGAGCTTCCAGCCTTTCTTGATGCATCAGATTTCTTGTATAAGCAAAGCCAAAGCAAAATGAATATGAAAATGAAAATATACACCATATTTCAAATGTTTGGAATCATTTGAATATACAATAATGACTTTATGTACATAAAATGTTATCATTTAAAGACAACAATATCTATTTTATTCAATATTTCAAATATTTTTGGAATTTATTAAATGCTAAATAATATACTGTAATTGTCTGTTTACAATAGTATTATCCAGGTTTCTTTCCTTGAGCTCAGCACTTTTCATGGATGATCATTAATTCTCTATATATATATTATATATATTATCTCTCTCTCTCTCTCTCTCTCTCTATATATATATATATATATATATTATATCTCTCTATATATATATTAAATCTATAATGTTATATATATTAAATCTCAAACCTCCAAAAAGAACCACTGAACCCTTGAAGAACCATCTTTGTAAGAGTGTATGATGGAGAACGTGTTTTAAATGATTCTTTATAGAACCTTTTTAAAATGGTTCTGCTATTAAGTTGCAGAAAAACATTTTGGGGACTGTACACCTGTAAAAACGGGGTTTTTAAGGGTTCTTTAGTAAAGGCAGTGATTAATAGAGCTCAAAGAACCATTTGAATAATAAGGTACAAAGGTGCAAAAATGTCAAATTGTCAAATTCCCATCTGTAATATAACTACACAGAATGGAAAGCTGACCAGAGACCGGTCGAACAATGGTGTTTTGAATCATAGCAGCACCACCTAGTGGCTACTGATTGCCTTATTTAGAGCACATTTATAAGGTGAAAGCACTGCAGTTACTTTGTTTGTGTCATTGCTGTAGAAACAAACCTTATATCTCTTGTTGTTTTATTTTATTTTTTTTTACAGAAGATTAAAATGCCGGCTGCTCTTTACATCATGTGGCATTAACAAAGGTAATAATGTTTTTTTATTCTCCTCTTATGAAGTAAGATACAAATTTTTGTTCTGACAGCAATGAAATGTAGTTTCAAATCAAGTGAAAAATTCTAAAAGCGTAAAAGGGACATTTTTAAAGCAGATATGATGCTTCTGTGTTTAAGTTTTTCAGTTGTACTTTAATAATCCAGTCTCCAAAGCTATTTACTTAAAGATATTAACATACATGACTGTGCACTACAGCCACATAACCTACTACACTATTCGAGTGTCTAATGTATCTAAACTTGCTTTAACTTTGGTTGAGACCACACCAAGGTGACCCCGAGGAACCACTAACAAGGATCCTAACATTGCCCTTGTCTTCTAATCTTCAGAGTTTCTCTCGGAGGGAGTTCAGCTGGAAGAAATCATTTAAGAGAGCCGTGCCATCTTTCCCCCGAGCATACACAAGGCCACCTCTGCCTTTCCTGGACATTTGATGCTCATTGATTTCCACGAGCAAACAAGCAGGGCTTGTTTATCTGAGAGAGCCCAGAGACAGTCGAGGCTTTAGCGAAGAATGACAGAATCAGAATGTGTGTAAAGTCAGAGAGAGCGAGCACCAGCAGGGCAGACTCACATAGTGGCCCACTCCTAAAATTAACTGTACATTTTCTTTTTAATTTTATATCTGTGTTAGGAAGCTCATCTAAATCAGCAGTCTCAAAATCAATAAAGGACAGTATATATAGTCGTATGAAAATGTTGCACCCCTTGGTCAAATTACATGTTTTGTTGATTTTGTGTAAATAAGTTAACACATCCTCTACAGAGAACACACTTCTGCACACTTTACTGCAGAATTACTGTTTATTTGCTGAATTTAACATATCAGAAAAACATAAAATGTGGCCTTTGCGAAAGTTATGACACATTTTGTATTGTTATACAGACTGCACACTAGAATTTGAAGAAAAAATGCTGTATTTGTTCTCTGTAGTTGATGTGTAAACTTATTTTCACTTAGAAAACCCATAAAATATGTCATTTGGTGTTCAAACCTTTGCATTCAACTGTGTAAATTTAAAGTGTGCATAGGGTCTGTAATGTTTTGAATATCAGAACACAAAGCTGACGGTTTTAACACTGTAATTAAAGAAATATGCGAACTGTTATAGATGTGGATATAGAGTCAGGAGTAAATGGCACATGGTTTATTTTTAATACGGTCAGAGATGCAACGTGTCCCTAATCTCTGCACAGAAGATGCTGCTAAAACCTAAATTCAGCACTTACCCAGTTTGCCTAACTGACGAGGCAAACTAGGTTAATGAGGCCGGCCATTAAATTAGTTATACAGGCCGGTCTGACCTGTAGGAGAGAAAGAGAGCGGGGGGTGGAATTATCTCGCCATTTATGTGTGCTTGCACGTGTGTGTCAGAGGTGGGAATAATAATCGATTCTTAGCTGCATTGAGATTCCCTCTTAAAAGATTTTGAATTGATTCACAAAATGTCATTTAGACAGGTTTCTATTGAGTTTCTATTTAATTTTAACTTGATTTGAAAGACTTTATAAAGTAGGATAGGTGAGTCCAGGGAGAGCTGTAACACTTGTCTCTGCCTTTATAATTTAGTGGTTGTTTGTGTAGTAGTGTTATAACTGAAGTTTGGGGGGAGGAACATGCCTGGAAGCCCTCCTTCTTACAATCTAACGCCCTATAAATTCACATCCTCACCTTTCCGTGACAAAGTGTTCGCAATCCCCCCTGCCACCCAATCACACAATCAGCATAAACATGCTGGGGTGACCAGCTAAACCAGCACCAGACCAGCACTAAACCAGCATAAATCAGCTTAGACTGGCAGACAGCTTAGACTGTGCTGTTTTTTTCAGCAGGGCAGTAGTTCCCAACATTTAAAAAATAAACAGTACGAGTTTCTTATACAATATGTGACACAAAGATCTGTCCTTTTTACACACTTCTGCTCCATTAGTTTCCCTGTTGTCAATGAATAATAAGCCTGGAATTTAAGAGCTTTAAGCTTTTGGATGGCAAAACAGGCCTATAGCCATAAAAAGTGTTCAGAGTGTACGTTACATTCAAATTCAGCTAAGCTAATGGTGTCTGTTAATGACAAATACTGGGAAAAAACAACGTAAGCTATAGAAAATAAAAAGAGATGCATCAAAAATCATTGCATAATCATGTCTCGGCACACTGAATCGAAGTCTAATTGAACTGTGATTGCTGAGTGTATATGTGTGTGTGGATGTTCCTATACTAGACTGTTATGATGACTCTGTTACTGATAGAGCCTGTTCATAATTAATGATGTCATTTAAATATGCAGAAGGACAAAAGAGGCACCGCAGCTGAGTTATGATCATCGTCAAGATGGATCACCACTGCATGCTCACCTGGCCACTCAGAAACACTGCTGGTGAAATTGGTATGACATCATTTCATATGTTTTTGGATGAAACAAATATTTTCCACCATTAACAAACAATCTGTTCCATTCTGTTCTATGACAGGGATGTTTGGACTTACAGTAGTGTTTATAGTGTTTATAGTGTTTATCTGATGTTTGTTTCCATACTACAGCAGGGAGGCAATTATATGACTTAGCTTAATGGACATGCAGTCGAATGCAAAAGTTTGGGCACCCCTGGTGAAATAACATGTTATGCTGATTTGAAGTTTGAAGTTAACACGTCTTCTACAGAGAACACACTTCTGCACATTTTAACGCACAATTACTGTTTATTTGCTGAATTTAACATAAAGGGGAAAAAATATGGCCTGTGCAAAAATTATGACACATTTAATATTTTGTGTTTTATTATTTTTTTCAATATGTTTGAAAATCTAATAACTTTGAAATTTGCACTTAATAATTGCAGAAAATGCTTATTTAAGTGTGTTAGCAGTAGAGTGTGTGGTAACTTATTTTCACTTAGAAAAATCAGCAAAACGTCATTTGACTGGGGGTCTTCACACTTTTGCATACAACTGGACATATGGCATAATAAGGATTTGTGAGGGACATTTAAATGTGTGTGTGCAAGCTGTCTCAGTCTGTGGCCGCAGCTGTGTGATCTAACAGTAGCTGACAGGGAGGTTGGAGGGCACTCTCTAGGGTCCTGAGGCTGGGAGCACTCTACACCACATTACGGCAGAACTGTTCCCCGTCCCGCTGAGCTAACAATTAGCACACACCAGTAGAGCAGGGCCGGCCTGAGTGTGTGCATGTGTGATTGTGTGTGTGGGTGAGTGTGTGTGTGTGTGTGAGTGTGTGTGTGTGAGTGTGTGTGCCTTTCTGAAGACATAAATTTGCATTTTGGAATATGTAATAAGTCCACACTACGTTTAATGTGCAGATGTCTTTTTTGTGCTTGTGGAGTCCGAATGTATAGCCCATTGAACTTTTTTTGTCTTGTAATATTACCAGGGGAGAAACACAAGCTTCACCACTCAGAAATAAACTGCAGAGGTGGTAACACTGTGGTACACACCCACCACCCTCTGTAACTAAAAGTTAGAGAAGAAAGTTGTGAAGTAATTAAATGAATGTACCTGAATAAATTCTTTAATGGATAGTAGATTGTGGGTATGTTTTGTGTTACTGTTACATGATCCCCCACTCACTGTTACAACCCACCAGGGTGTAACAATGGAACGTTTGGTATTTACATCTGGGTATCTCACAATGGCAAACTATGACTGATGGAGCTGGGCCTTTAGTTCAGGCCATAAATGTCAAAACATGGTCAAAAACAAGGAAAAGCACATGTATGATAATGGTAATGTCTGCTAGTATCCCTATGTGACTCTAATAATATGTTAGCACTAAGCTAACGACAATTCACATAAACATTTTTTTCATGTTCTATTTGAAGCTGCAGTTTTACAGTGATTCCTTTCCATTGATTACAACTGACTGAAACGTGGTTAGACTATGGCTCATGTTCACATCAGTGACGTAAAAAAAGGGGCTTATTAAAAAGAAATCAGTGAAACGCCTGTGAGAGAACACCTATGTTTTTATTTGATTTTTAAATAACATTTTGTTAGAACCTGAACTGGCTATTGTTTATTCAAAATATGGCAAAACATCAACAGCAAAATATAGACACTTGTAATAAACCTGAAAGTATCACATAAGTAATAGTACAATGCTTTTTACAAAGTATTTTACAAATACTTGAAATATTTTAAAAAAGCCCCCAGGAATAGGTCTTTTCAACCTACCTATGAGCTTGATCTAGACACCTGACATCTTTTCTTTGCTGCAAGTTCATTAATTCTCTGGACTGACTTCTGAGCTGCTGTGCTGAGTCTTTATATTGGTTGAACTGCAGCTGAAAGTGTGTTTGGTACATGACTGGTGTGGTAGAATTGAAGTGTAACCGCTTTCCCATAGCATGTTGTTGGGGAGGGGGGTGGGAATGCACATCACGTTGCAGTGCATGCAGGGCGTTGCAGTGCATGGCATTGTGAAACATTATTAATAGAAAATTTAAAACATTTGGCAGGCTGGATAGAATTGTGTTAGAATTGATCTGGCCTGCGGGCCTTGTGTTTGACACATGGGGCCTAGAGTGATGTTTCCTCTCACAAATGTGGTTCTTACCACTGGAACTCAAATGTGATTGATTGATTGATTCTCTGCCATTTCCAAATTACGTTGGTATTTAATTTGACATGTTAGGCCTTCAGTTCATTTCATGAAGTCCTAACCAATGGCAGAGCTTGCTTGGCTGTATGTACCTAGAAAAAAAAAATTAATTAAAATAATTAAACAATTTTCTGTTGAGTGCTTCAAGAAGTTCACAAATTTGTTCCCAACCAAAACTTACCAAAAAGAGTAGTACTACAATATTGGCAGAGTTTAATACAACAAGCATGACGATACTATTAAATTAAAATGAACTAAACATTACAGAAATACTTTTTTATTTCACAGAAATCATTAGGCCTTCTCTGAAGTATCTTAAGTTAGATATAATGCAAACAAACATTGCATGAGGCTGATACAAAAAGTGTTGGAGCCCTGATTTCCTGACAGTAATTTTTACAGAGTGCATTTGTTTTGACGGTGAGATTCGTATTTGTGTTCGTCTTTTCCTTTTTCATGCCGTTACCCATTTCTGTCACTCTACACTGTGTTAAAATATTGGAGAGTGTGTGTATGTAAGTGCACTAAGCTGTCTCACACAGAGACGCACTAGGTGAGCTGTGCTGGTAGTCTGATCTGTTAGCCCTTCTACATTTAACATGAGGCCGGTCTGCCTCGTCTTGACTTATTCATCCCACCAGCCACTGGCTAGCGCTAACCTGAGCCGACAGCTGTGCGCCTGGTGAAGACCTCTCCATCTCCCCTCAGTCTCTCAGGATTGCAACTCCCCCCCCCAAACCTCAAATCTCCACACACATGACACACACACACATGTTCCCAGTGGAGGAAAGTAACAAAGTACATCTACTGCTGTACTCTTCTTAAGAAGAGCTTTCAGAAGTCTGTACTTTGGCTCTGTAAACTTTTTTACCTTCTACTTTACTAGCATTTGTATGGAAATAACATTTAAGAGAGATTAAAGAGAGATTTAAAAACAAAATTAAAAACACACTGATCAAAAATGCAGTATATTTTAAAGGAATGGTTTGGAAAAAAAAATATTTACACAATTTTCCAATTACTCTAGATGTAGTTAACCAACCAAGACATGTTTGGTGTCCAAACTTTGTGTCTTCAGTTCAACACTGGAGCTGCAAGGATAATGTTGCTAACAACCACTAGAAATCAATAGTCACCCATTTTTTTAACTTCCCTTTCATTAAAGTGACAGCCTTGGCAATATGGTTTAGGGCACAGTATGACTTTGGCTACACAGTGATGTTTTGTTCATTTTTATAGTTTAGAGTTATAGTAACTCTTTTTTTGTGGAACATGAACATATTCTCAATTTATTAGGGTGTATTCCAGTAGGCTTAATCTGCCATAAAGGCTGTTTTGTCAACTTTAATATCAAGTCAACATAACACTATGTCAGGTGACATCAGTTTTTTCTCACACTGGGCTGTGTTACGCCACTTTTTTGGGTGAAATGACAGAAAATTGTAACAAGTGACTTTGCAGCTTAGTGTATGTTATAGTGACAAAGCTGATGAACTGACAAAGCTTATTTCTTAATGAATAAATGGCAAAATGAAACTCACTTTACCTAAGTGCTGCAGAAAATGCTCACTTTTGCTCATCCAGTCTGACTTGGCGAGCTATGTCATATTATCAGCATTAAGTAACTGGGTGACACTTTATTTTCAGTGGTCCTTTTTATATTAAATAAACTCACCAGACTCTCAGTAACACATCAACAACATATCAATGACGTAGCAGGAGTGAATACATTCAGTAGATTATCAAGAGACTTTAATGAACTACGTAAATAAAATGTGTTTATAATCTGCTGAATTCAGTTGTTTTTTACTTTATTTCGAGTGTTCAAATTCATATCTGCACATCTTAACCAGAGAGGTCACTGAACATGAAACAGGTTTAATACAGACCATCTCAACATCCTCAACAAGCTGTTATAGACATGCTGCTGACACCATTCTGTAAGTGGACTTTAACTAGATTAGGTATGGGTTAAAGTTAGGGTTAGGATTAGGTTTTGGGTTGAGGTTAAGGTTAGGGTTAGAATTATGGCCAGGGTGAGGGTTAGAATTAGGTTTTGGGTTGAGGTTTAGGTTACAGTTAGGATTAGAGCCAGGGTCAGGGTTAGGTTTTGGGTAAGGTTGGGTAAAGTTAGGTTTTGCTTAATGGAGGTAATATATAAAGTCTGCTTCATGTAACGTATCAACAATACATCTACTTAATGTAAGTAATGTATAAAGAGAACATTCTCAAGATATTTACCTCAGTGTATTCAGATGCTTCATTACTGCTACTTCACTGGTATGTTACTAA